TTCTTTAAAGGTTTAAGTAACTCATTCATATTTAGAATTTCAAGGGATCTAGGTCTGTTGCTCTGTGACAGCCAGGAGACCTGCAGTCACAGGCAAATGCTAAAGTACGTTGCCTATCTGTTCTGTCAAAGACTCGTAAGAGACAAAGGACATGTTAATTTTAAGTTTATAAAGAAACATAAAGAAAAAGGCAGTGTGGAATCCTACAGGCTTCCTGACTTTCCTTCAGTTTTCAAGGTCTTGCAACATCTATAAGGTTTATGAGGATCTTGAGTCAGTCCTTGGAGTGTCTGGAGCTCCTGTTCCTTGGTCCTGTAAAACTCCATAGCTCTTAAAGGTCTCCACAGCTCTAGATATGCTCGAGTGATACTGCTTTATGAAACTTAAGGGGCAGCCCATAAGTTCTTTTTATTCTTTTATTTCTTGACTTGCACAAATTACTGAAACTCTACATTGGATCACAGATTGCCTCACCTGATGTTTAGACTATGCAAGCTTTCTCTCCCTGGTGCTCTTCTTAAGCAGAATTACTGAAGGGTGAGGCAGATTTCTTTAAATGTACTCTCATAAAATTGTTATTGCCTTTTGGGGTTGTTTTTTTTTTTTAATGGGTGAACTTAAAGAGGCAAAAGGCTTGGGCAGTGTTTGTTAAACTGCAGTCAGATTTACTAGCAAATGATTGCATGAATAATTCCCATTCCATAAAGTTGTACCAGTGGTAAATGTAGAGTTCAGAAAATCGAGGGTGTTCCTCTAGTGAAAGCTGACCAGTGACCCTGGCAGCCTGGGACTGAAAACCAAGCTGACCATCTCTGCTTTGCAGAGAACAATTACAGGGTGCCACATTGCAGCTAATCTATTCTGGCTCAAATAAGTGCCAGAATTGTTCAACAAGCCAGAGAAACACATGAAATTTGAAGGAGCAATATGTTCTTTCATTCCTCAAGACCACAGGCCTCCATGGCTTGAGTTTAAGAAACATCCAGTGAAGAGATAAGAAGGAAAGATTTTGTGTCTCTCAGGTGCAAATAGCTAACAAAAGCTTACTTTTGTGCCAAAGTCCTGGCAATAGCTCATAGTTCTGTTTAACTACAGCATCCTTGATTCAAAGATTACCCCAGCAAGAACATCCAAGATTTAAGAAGCAGATTGCTCAAAAACTCATCTTCATCATCAGTTTATGAACCTAGAGCTACCTAAAATGTTATGGGCCAGAATTTAAACTCAAGGTAGCCATTACCTTTGAATTTTCCTGAATGCTCCCTTTCAGAGTAAACATGGAAGATTATCCAAGCAGATGCAACCTCAATTACAGAGACAACAGAGAGCCCAGTAGCATCATGGCAGATTGTGGAAAACCTGAATGGAAACTGCATCTGCTCTGCTTCCAAATAAAACGTAGTGATAAACATTTATTTCTTGTTTCAGACAGGGGCAGCATGAATCAACAGAGATTGTTGATTGCAGCTTGTTATTAGCATTGCGTTCTACCTCTAATTTTCACTCTAACTGAGGATCCCCAACCTACAGCTTTCAAGTTGTGAGCAGCTCATTAGGACACAGCCCATAACCTCTGCCAAACAGTGAGAACTTGTCTTCCCAACCTAAGTTTATAGCTTGGAATTCATATTTGCTTCAGGTTTAAGGATTACAAAGAAAAGTGATAAAGCCCCAGAAGTTTATGCTACTTCCACGCAGTTGCATGTAGGGCAAGTCACTATATTAATTTCCTCTGCACACACTGAAGCGCAGCATTATTAAAGCCTCACAAAATTAAAAAAATGCAAGTAGTCTCCTCTAAAATCAATAAGGAGTATAAGGAACCATATTGGTTTTGGAAAACAGAAAAACATTTGGAAGACTGATACCCCCACAACTTCAAATGTAACTTTTATCAGGTTATAAAATATTTTCTCAGAAATTATGTTTTCCTATTTTCTTCAGGGATTATCTTGGTATTTCCAAACTCTGCCTATTTCAAAGTCTCTTTGAAACCATAGAGCAGTACACTCCACACACCAAC